TAGAGAAAAAAAAAATGAATAATGTTGATGATAATACTTTTGGACCCTTTCTGACATACGCATATGCACTTAGTTCTTACTGTCATGTTTCCAACCGAAACTTATCAGAAAACTCGAAGGCCCGGTTATTTAAGTAAAATTTAGCTGTTATTTAAAAAACTGCTTTCTAAGTCATCTTCACTTTGACTGAACCTTTCATCTCAACGTTTATTTTATGAACCACAAAAGACGATTTCATTCGTTCAAGTTTCATTGCTGCGAGCATTATCGAGACATACATTTTTCGATCGGCCGAAAAAACCATTAATTTAGGTCAGTTCTGTGGTCATTTATCTGCGTACCTGATACACTTCCTGAGGCAAACAGTACAACCATACAAATGATTCTTTCCACGTTGTCGTTTACCAAACTTGACACCAACATCTGTCAGATAAGTAGAAAAATTTAATTTCTTTCCCCTTTTATTTTCTTAGCTGCTCTCCCGTAATTAAGATAGTCATATTTTCAATATCAGAGCTGTGAATTTGTTTGCCCTTTATAATGGTAGCTATGGTTGTAAAACTTCTTTATTCTCCGACGTGTTTCGTCTAACTGTCGTAGACTTTTTCAAGGAGTTTTACAAGTAGCACTAAACACCCGTATTTATAAGCCATAAGGGACTTTAAGCAGTCAGGACGGCAACGCCACGGAAGACGTCGATTAAAAAATGAGTTTCTATTTTTAGTTAAAATTTCGAAAATGGCTGGATGTGTTTACCGTCTCATAGAGCGCCAGACCTCAAACTCAACATAAAGCATAAAAAGTAGCGTTGAGTTCCAAATGTGAATTAAAATAACTTGCCGCTGCGGTTTAGCTTCACGGACGACGCAAATTTTGGTGATTTCACGTTGTTGTTTTGCAAAGACGGCTAAGAAATGTACAAAGTTTGAAAACGCACGTGCTGGGCTATTGTTCTGCCAATTAGATCTATTGTTTTTCCACGTTCTCGTTGCCGTAGCCGTCGTGGTTTGCTTAAAAGGGACCTTAAGCAGTCAGGACGGCAACGCCAAGGAAGACTCCGACTCGCAGCTCGAGGGTTCGAGCCGCGGCCGGACAAACACTCCAGGTCTTAAAATAATTGAGAAGAATTTGCTACCTTTCTATAACATCAAGAAATGGTTAGATATTCTAGTATTCTCGGTTAGGGATGAATAAATGGAGGTCCCGTATCCTGCAGAGTTGCGGTAGGAGACGTTAACTTCCCACACACGAGATTACTGTGTGATGGATGTCCTCCCCTGGGGTGGGATGGTGGGTTTGTTGTGAAGCCCGTAAGTTCGATAATTCACTGGGTTAATT